GATAGGCTAGATGGAGCCTAGCTGCAGCAGCTCAGGTCAAAAGATAGGATTCAGGAGGGCAGGGGTCCAGGGAAGCCCAGAGTAATGAGAAGTGTCAGGGCAGAGGAAGAAAGGAGAGGTGCAAACCCAGGGCTGGACCAGACCATTTCTACGCCCAGGATTGGGGTGGGGGTGGGGGTAAAGAGTTTGCTAGACTTGACTCTAGGGCTAGTTCTGACCCCTTGGTTTTCTTTGTTGGAGCTTCTAGTGTACTAGAAGTCTACCATAATAAGATTAGTGATCTTAAATGTGTTTGTAAAAGTTGTATACCCTTTTGATATTACATCTGTTCTTTATACTATACCAATATATTGTGCATATTATATAACACATTTGCAAATGTAAATTTTTTAAAAAATGAGATAAGTGAATAAGTGAAAGGATAAATATTTCTTATACTTTACTGGCTGGTGGCTTATTGCTTTAGAGTTTAGACAGTGGTGGGTGCTGAGAGCATCTTGGGGTGTGGGGTGCAGTTCCTATCCTGTTCCCTCAGGGTCTCTAGGGGCCAGCTTCTCTAGCCAGGCAGGTGGTAGACCAGCAGAGCTCAGTTGTAATTATCCCTCACTGTGGCCTGTTGAAGTTGCCCTGCTTTAATCCTGGCCACTTCTTCCCTGTCACACACTGGCTGTATCCAGAGAGCCCACAACAGTGTGTGATGCCCACACACAAGGCCCGACAGCAGCACCTTAAAAAGACTTAAGGGTTCTGATAACACTGACCAAGTGTGTTAATAGATGAGCTATAGTATCTGAATTCCTACATTAACATCTGTGCACAGCATCTGAGACACTAGTGAATATCTTAACTCTTACCCCCAAACGGGTCTATTTTTCTAGTAACTAACATGTAAAAGCCTCATGTTAGTAGAAACAATGCCAAGTATGACTATAAAGAAATGAGACCAATGTTTATAATATAGATAAGTCTCTAAAATGTAGACATGTTATTTTATAGATGCCATGATGCTAATGATGCTAATAATAGCAACACAAGCTAATACTGATTGAGGTAAGCACTTAACATGTGTTATCTCATTTAATCTTCACAACAGCCCTGTAAATGTAGAACCTGTTAATCCATTCAGCAGATACTTGAGTGCCTTCTTGGTGATGGAGCTGTGAGGATACAGTGTACAAGAAGACAGACCAGGTCTCTGAGCTCATGAAGCTTACAGTGTAGTGGGGAGCCAGATGTGCTCCCAAGGGACCAGACATAGCAGAATCACAATATGGTGAGTAAACAAGGTCCTGTGTTAGAGAGCTGCAGGATGGGCTGGGGTTATCAGGAAATGCTTCTGGGAGGAAGGGACACTTGGGCTGATATCGAAGTTGGCAAGTGTGGGGTTGGATGGGGGGGTGACCTTTGGTGGGAAAAAGTCAGTGTTCTTGGGTAGTCCTTTGTGCCTCAGTTTCTGTCTTGTGTATGTATTTAGGTGGACTTGTTCTTTCCCTAGGTAGATCATAAAACACCCTAGGGTAGAGTCTGTGTCTAATCCCTCCTTTTGTCCTTTGCTGCACGTAGCAGAAAATAGGTCTCAGTAAATGTTACCTGGTATAAACTGGTACATGGATGAATGAATAAAATGGTACAGGGATGAATGAATAAAAGATGTGTAAGATATTACATCTTCTCTGTAATGTTTTTTGGATGTTAATCAACAAATGGTCATCGACTCTACTTGTGTGTAGAGCATGTTAGGGGATTCAAGATTAGGAAATTAAAACAAACTTAGCCCCTCGCCCTTTAAGGAGCTTGAAATCAGTCTGTAGAGCACATAAAACAGAGCACCTGACTTAGAAACAGCCAGCAGAGTGGGTTGAACAAGCAAGTTTATGTAGTGTCCAGGATACTGCTTCACCCACGCCATCCATGCAGTTTATTGGATCAGGCTTCCCAAGAAGAAAGTACTGCACTGCTTGGAGTGGCCAGGCATGCAGATGGCAGGGAGAGGGGGGCAGCAGGTTGCAGAGGGAGGTATGTCCAGAGTAAGGAAAGCCAGCTCTGCTTCGCAGAACGTTGGGGCTGTAGAGAAATACAGCTAGTGGGGGGGGGGGGGGATTCGCTGACTTGCCTTTTTCTTCAGTGGCATCATGCAGAAACTCGGGGTTTGGGTAAGTGGCCATAGTTTAAGAACTGACTATCTCAGAGCACTGAGGGTACATGTGGTTCTGCTGCATGGTTCCACGGATGAACCACACTTTCCTCTGGCCTTGGCCATGTCCAGCAGAGACCTGCAGACATAACACCATTAAAAAGCAACACTTTTTCTTTTTTTTTTAAACAAGATTTACTTCTTCAACACCCCCACCCCCATCCCGCTGGAAGTCATAGCTTCTTTAATGTCCTGCTGGCTGTGTGAAAAACAGGAATTTATGTAACAAACCCTGCACAGAAAACTTTTTCCTGTTCGGAAAAAAATTTTTTTAATTGTTGGCAAAGTTAGGAGACAGCTCTGTTACTCAAAGAGCGACCTCAAATGTCCTCTTAGAAAAATATGTAACATAATGTTTTAATAAGTAAGGGATTGCTGTGGGCCTTTTTAAAAAAAGTCTAATTAGCGAGTTAATGTATGTCCAATCTGAGTTAGTGAATTTTTAAGATTTCATCATCGTGTATTCTGCAGTCTTATTAAAAATGTCCCCCAATTGCATTTGCAGATGAACTGATCTAATTATAAATGAGGAGCTGCGCCACCCCTCCCCTAGTGTGAGACACAGCCAGCAATTTATCATCTAGGAAGATCTTTCCCCTTTATCATTAACTAAATGTGACAGGGACAGGAGTCTAGCTTCCTTTTCTCTAGAGATTTCTTCATTGTAGCTTATGTGTGTGTCTGTTGTGTTCAAAGAACAAGGTAGTCATGATGGAATATTGTGCAAATGCCCAGGCTTTCAGCATATAGAACATGTCACAGGGTCACAGAACTTGACTCCATTCCGGTCCACCCCAGGGATGCTTCTTTAAGGAGGAATTTGGAACTTGGTTTGCTGGTGTTGGTTGGCCCAGCAGATGAGGCTCTGGCTGTGGGAGGGTGCGTGAGGGTATGTGCGTGTGTGTGTGCACGCGCCTGCGTGTGTGTATGTGAAAACCTTCCCATAAGGGAGTGTCATGGGAATGAAATAGGACATTAGGGAAACATAATCCTCGGTCTCTTTTAGGAAGTCTTCAGTTTGGGGACAGGTCTGTAGGTGGAAAGGAAGAGGAAAGTTTTGGAAACAAAAGAACCTTTGCTGTCATTCACTTGACATACCTGCCAGTACCCAGGCTGAAGAGCCCGCTCAGAGCCCTGTCTGATCCACACTCTCTGTGTGCCCTGGCAGAAGGGCTTGTCATAGCTGCTGTGTTGCAACCTTTGGGTGGAATGTAATACAGAGGGTCAGAGAGCGTTTTGAAATGTGGATTTTTCAGCTCTGACTGTCCGGCCTCACTCTAACTTTTAAATCTCCTTTTAGAAAGTGAAAAAAAATTATTTTATTCTGTTTTCTATTTTCTTTTAAACAGAAAAAACTTGAGCTTATGGTTTGTTTTGGAGCTCTGGCCTTGTCCAGCCTTACACAGCCTTTGTTCTGGCACAATGATTGGCATGTTGATGGCATGAGGATGTGGGCATTGTGGCTGCATCCCGGTGTGACCACAAATCCAGCCAGAGCCTTTTCGTGGTCAGGGAAAGGGGTGACTGATGGATCCAAGGGGCTCAGCCCTGCTCCCAGGGTTCTAGGACTCTCAGAGAATCTTGTTCCTGGTCTTGGGGTCGGGGCCCCGATGACAGGCGGCACTGCTCAGTGAGCAGGCAGTGAGAGTCTGCTGTGTGCCCTGTCCTGTATGCTGGGGACTGAAAGCTATAAGATGAAGTCCTATGTCTTAGGGAGCCCACCTTTCCTTTTCTGTTTGTCCCAGAGGCCCTGTGGATGCTGTCAGTCTTAGTATATGTCCAGTTGTGGGGGGTCAGATTGGTGCTTTGCTGCTTCTACTGGAACTTGAGCCTGTGTGTTTGGAGCTGTGGGTTTGTATTTATAATACTTTCTTTCCACACCCCAGTGAAGAGGAGGAAGGGAATGGAGCTTCGATTGGTGAAAACTTATGTCCCCAAAGTTGGGATCTAATACATTCTTCTTGGTGACTCTTACCATGTACCTGACACCACTGAGCATTAATTGTTCTAGGGGTATACGTAGCACAGTTCAGTCATGGAGCTGTACTTAGCAGGTTGAAGCCTCAAGCTATTTGTGCTTGCCACCTCTTCCTCCCCTCCTAGGTTGTCTTTTTGGACAGAGAGTAACTATGGATGCAGTGTCCTTGGGTTAGTTGATGTATACTACTGGTTATTTTGGGGAGGTGGGGGTGGCAAATTACACTCGAATTTAAATTTTTCTTCCTTGGAGGAGGCAGTTCAACTTTCTAAAAAAAAAGAAGATCCATTTTTTTCTTATATTCATGTGTATTTGCTATTTGCCTAATAGACTTTAAGGGTTTAAATAAACCTAAGTCTTAGAGTTTTAGGCTTTTAATTTTTGATTAAGAATATATGCTGTCCTCCCCCCCCCCCCCATAATTATGTAGGCCCAGTAATGCAAAACTTCTTACTTTGAGTAAATGGCATATTATACAATCTTAAGAGAATTGGCAATAGTTTTGAGGGTGATAAAATGGAAAGAGTTTTTACAGCACTTTGTTAGGAAGTACTATTTGCATAGCACTGACTAACTAAACAAAATTTAAGTTGTAAAACCAGTGTAATTGTATTGTAAAATATACTTATATTTATAATAATGTGTATTTAATTTTGTTCCCTCATTAAGATACAGATACTGTTTTTAAGATCAAATAATATTTTTCTTGTACTGGTTTGAACTCTTTTTTAGTGGGGTTCAGAACCATTCTGACTGTATGGGTTGAAATCTGGACTTCCATGTAGTTGGAGAAGTACTGTGTTTCTAACATGATGTTTTGCTTTACAGAATTCAATTCGTCATAATCTGTCCCTGCACAGCAAGTTCATCCGTGTGCAGAATGAAGGAACTGGAAAAAGTTCTTGGTGGATGCTCAACCCAGAGGGAGGCAAGAGTGGAAAATCCCCCAGGAGAAGAGCTGCGTCCATGGACAACAACAGTAAATTTTCTAAGAGCCGAGGCCGAGCCGCCAAGAAAAAAGCATCCCTCCAGTCTGGTCCAGAGGGTGCTGGGGACAGTCCGGGGTCTCAATTCTCTAAATGGCCTGCCAGCCCTGGCTCTCACAGCAATGATGACTTTGATAACTGGAGTACATTTCGTCCTCGAACTAGCTCAAATGCTAGTACTATTAGTGGGAGACTTTCTCCCATCATGACTGAACAGGATGACCTTGGCGATGGGGATGTGCATTCAATGGTGTACCCACCCTCCGCTGCAAAAATGGCTTCTACTCTGCCCAGTCTGTCAGAGATAAGCAATCCTGAAAACATGGAAAACCTTTTGGATAATCTCAACCTCCTGTCATCACCACCATCATTAACTGTTTCAACCCAGTCTTCACCTGGCACCATGATGCAGCAGACACCATGCTACTCATTTGCACCACCAAACACCAGTCTGAATTCACCCAGTCCAAACTACCAAAAATATACCTATGGCCAATCCAGCATGAGCCCTTTGCCCCAGATGTCATTGCAAACACTTCAGGACAATAAATCGAGCTATGGAGGTTTGAATCAGTATAACTGTGCTCCAGGACTCTTGAAGGAGTTACTTACTTCTGACTCTCCTCCCCATAATGACATTATGGCACCAGTGGATTCTGGGGTGGCCCAACCTAACAACCGGGTTCTGGGCCAGAATGTGTTGATGGGCCCTAATTCAGTCATGCCAAGCTATGGCAGCCAGGCATCTCATAACAAAATGATGAATCCCAGCTCCCATACCCACCCTGGTCATGCTCAGCCAACGTCTGTAGTTAATGGGCGTGCCTTGCCCCATGCAGTAAACACCATGCCTCACACCTCGGCCATGAACCGCCTAGCCCCAGTGAAGACAGCTGTACAAGTGCCTCTGCCCCATCCCATGCAGGTGAATGCCCTTGGGGGCTACTCTTCGGTGAGCAGCTGCAATGGCTATGGCAGAATGGGCATTCTCCACCAGGAGAAGCTCCCAAGTGACTTGGACGGCATGCTTATCGAACGCTTGGACTGTGACATGGAGTCCATCATTCGGAATGACCTCATGGATGGAGATACGTTGGATTTTAATTTTGACAATGTGTTGCCCAACCAAAGCTTTCCACACAGTGTCAAGACGACAACACATAGCTGGGTGTCAGGCTAAGAGTGAGTTAGTGAGCAGGTAAGATCACTCCACTATCAAAAGACCTAAAAACAGAACTTATAGGAGAGGAACACTAACTTGCCATCTATCTTCCATGGTTAGGACTTTATAAAGGTCAACTAGCTGCCTCTTGCAGAGAGGCATCTTTCATTATTCATTCTTCACCCTTTTTACAGCTTATAAATTTTCCTTTTGAGTTTAAACATGGAACCTTCCATAACTGCTTTAAAGATTTTCTTTTAACAGTTAGATGGCTGCATCTTTTTTGTAGCTCTTAGGTTAATGAATACATTTGATATAAATCAAATGCTAAAGGGTTTTTTAAGTGGAATTTCCCCCACTGAATGATTTCAGAGCTGTTTGAGAAAGCTCTAGCTACTCCCCTCCCCCAGTATGTCTGTCACTCTCATATGTTAAGTTGCATTGATTTTAATTTGGCTATTTTTTAATTGTTTGTGTTTGTTTGTTTTTTTCCATAGGCTACACTTAAAAGTACTTCAGATTGTCTGACAGCAGGAACTGAGAGAAGTCCAAAGATGTTCTTCATCCCATCTTTTCATTTTCTTGATTTAAAAAAACACACACACACAAAAAAGGTTTTTTTCCTTCCTTTCGTCAGACTTGGCAGCGAAGACATTTTTCCTGTACAGGATGTTTGCCCAATGTTTGCAGGTTATGTGCTACTGTAGATAAGGACTGTGCCATTGGAAATTTCATTACAATCAAGTGCCAAACTCACTACACCATATAACTGCAGAAAAGATTTTCGGATCCTGGTGTGCTTTCAAGTTTTGTATATAAGCAGTAGCTACAGAATTGTATTTGTGTGTGTTTTGTTTTTTAAAATATCCATTTGGTCCAAGGAAAGTTTATACTCTTTTTGTAATACTGTGATGGTCTCATGTCCGTGATAAGTTAAACTTTTGTTTGTACTACCTGTGTTCTGCTGAACTGAGAATCACAGAGAACCAAGCTCTCCATTCTGCACCTTCATTGAACAGCTTTGGACCTATTCATTTTGCCACATAATTTTCACAAGAACCAATAATCTATCAGTCTGCTGAATTAATGGACTTGTCAAACTCTTTTGAAAAAAAGAATAGAGTAAATGCCAGCCTTGTACAGGTGTTTTCTATTTTTTTGTTATTTGCAAATTTGTACAAACATATAAATGGTTCTAATTTCCAGATAAATAATTTTTTGATGTTATTGTTGGGACTTGAGATCATTTTTGGAATAGATATTGGCCTGTAATGTTTTCTTAAAACTAGAATCTACTTTGTTACAGTATGTTTGTAAATTTGTGGAATTCCAGCTTTTTGAGACAGCATCCATAATTTGCATTTTGTATTCTAACTGGATTAGTGCTAATTTTGTACGTGCTTAACTGGTTTGTATACTTTGGGATGCTGCTCGGTGATGTTTCTGACTAATCTTAAAATCATTGTAATTAGTATTTGCATACTCAATGTTTCTGGCCCTAATTTGGAAGGAGAGTGATGTATAGTTAAGGACATTTTGTGTTTCATGTTTAGGAGAACTTGATATGTTTTTATGTATGTATTTTAAAGAAATTACATCTGCTGTTACTCTGTGAACTAAGTGTACTGAATAGCATTGAGTCTTCTGATAGACACCTGTCTGCTTGTCATGGCAGATACTCCTGGGAGGCCTTGGGATGTGGTAGATCAGAAAGGGAGATCTGCATCTAAAACAGCACTGCTTTCTCAGTTGGGGTTTTGATCAACAACCATTTTAAGTTAAGCTTCATCAAAAGTTTTCCCTCATAATTCTGTGCTTTTTTTGGTTTAGGTGGAGGTTGGTTTTATAGCTCTGCCTTGAAGGGTATGTCAACACTCACATTTCATCGCTCTCTCCCTCTGTCCTGCAGATTACATAGCACACTCTGGGAAGTAAGTGAGGGGGGGATTTGGAAACGAGGCTTCAGTTATTTGTACAATGCTTTGTGTTCATGAGTACAGATGGCTATCAAGTGGAAAATAACCTGTTTAAAAATTGAGGCAATTAATTTGAAAACCAACAAATCAGCTGTAAGTTGTATATTTGAATTCATTTTAAAAGCTTTTGCATAAGAATTTCTTTAGCCTTTAGCAACCTAAACTATAATTCTGATCATTATGTTTTAATATTTTCCAATTACCTGTAACTGACAGACCAAATTAATTGGCTTTGTGTCCCACTTATGGCATTGGTATATTCAAGTCATGTGGATGCCTGAAGTCAGCAAAATAAAACGAACAGCTGAACAAAAATGTTCATCTTGCCTGCTTGAGAAGGTTCTGATTTCTATATACTTAACCCAAATCACATTTGTTTTGTCTTATCTGTGAATTGCATCTCTGTTGGCTTGGTTTTTCCTACATGTTTAACAAGAACATACGTGTCCTCGATAGATTTCCTACAGGGGTCAGCTTTGTTGTAAGCTTCCCACTGTAACTTATACTATTTTAAAAATTCATTAAACAACCACTTCTCTAACCGTCTTTATTGTTAGACACTCCAAATATGTCTGGTTTTAGAAACCCTAGTTCCTCTCAGCAGGGCATGTACAACAGCTTGTTGGTGTGGAGCCTGCGTGTCTCCGTTCCACCACTGCCTCTCCCCACCGGTGCCAGTCACAGGAGCCTCCGAGACAGCCCCCAGCATCACTGTTAGCACTAGACTGCAGCAGTGTGACTGTAACACATTTCTTCCTCCTACATCTGTGTAAATATCTTTTTTTTTCCTTCAAATTTTTCTTTGTGCTGAAATTCTGACATGAATACTGGGTAGCTAGCTCTCGGGGCACAGTGAACTCCAGTGAAAGGCACCTTGTCTATTTTGAAAACATGTGACCTCTGGTGATGCTTTTCTGTACGAATACTGACTTTCTGGAGTAGCTATCGTGTCGGTTATTGTACATGATTGCTCTGTGAAATGTGCAAATGATACCACCTATACAGCCTTGTCTGACTTCTTTTCCCTGGTTTGTACTGTTATTAAAAGCATATTGTATTATAGAGCTATTCAGATATTTTAAATATAAAGTATTGTTTCTGTAATATAAGCATATGGAGTATATTTAGATAATAGACACATTACATAGAAAGTTCTGCTTTGACAAACTGACAAAGTCTAAATTAATTAGCAAATGTTATACCCCAGTGAGCAGTAAATTAACGGAATGTCCCAAGCAGAGAAGGACACTTAAAATGGAAACAGTTCTCCAAAGGTATACAATTTACACTTGTTCAGCTGCTGGATATATGTTACTTGTCCCACAAAATTTTTACATTCAGCTCTTAAGAGTTCTTAATTTTCACTGACTTTTAAATGAGAAGTTTCTTTTTTGATTTTAGTTTGGGAGTAATCATCCAGTAAAAAAAAAACCCAGTGTGGTTTATGCAAACAAAGCTGCTGGGCGTGACTCTTGGCCTCCTCCTTGAGGGTGGTGCCTAGCCTGGCAGTTTGGCCAGGTGTGGCCATGTAAGTCCTGTCAGGACATAGTCATGCCTCCTGCATTTTGCTACTTGAGTTTAGTGACAGTGCAAATTCCATGTCCCTGTTCCAATACTCTGAGAAGTGCCTGATGATGCCGATGTGCTTACAGACAAGAACAATCTTTGCTGTTTTTGTATAAAGCCATAAATGTACATAAATTATGTTTAAATGGTTTGGTGTCTTTCTTTTCTAATTGTGCAGAATAAGCTCTTCATTAGGATTTTTAAAACAGTGTTTTGCTATCATTTTCAACCACAGTGCCATGGTTTATTCAAGTCTGGTATTTTTTTTGGAGGGTGGGGTGAACATTCTCTGATCAGACCATAGCCCCCTAGAGTTAAGAACAAGTAAAATCCCTTGATAATAAAACAACCTTGGAGTGTAGGTTCTTCATCTTTGGAATGCCTGAAACCACAACCTGGTACAGTAATTACTGGGCAATTAAATCTCATGTCAGAATAGACTGCTGAAGGTAAAAAGCACCTAAGGGGCAAGTAGGGGTCCTGACTAGGAGTTCACCAAGCAGGCACTGGGTAGTGTGGAGAGCAGAGAGCCTCTCCATGCTGTGCGCTGCTGTCACACACACCTTTCTGAAGGAGTGTTTCTTCCTCTTTCTAAGTGGCTGCAGATGGGAGGTTTTATATGTTTGCTGTTTTTATAATATGTCCTGAGGAAAGAGCTAGGATTAGATTAATGACGATTAAAAGACTTCTTTTTTTAAATTTGTTTTTTATCCTCATTCAAGGACATTTTTCTATTTTTTGCTCAGATGGAGTGGGTAGGAGAGAGAGAGAGAAACATCGACGTGAAAGACACATCGAGTGGCTGCCTCCCGTATGACCCAACCAGGGCCGGGGACAAACTGCAACCAAGGTATGTGCCCTTAGCGGGAACCATACTTGGGCCTCTCTGGACCTCAGGCCAACACGCTAACTGCTGAGCCAAACAGGCCAGGGCTGATTAAAATACATTTTTAAACCAGGGTGAAGGTCAGCCTCTCCTTGGTTTTGACTCTTACGAGGCAAGTAAATGTCTGAATGAGTTGGAGTAGCAACAAGGAAATAGATTATTCTCATGTTTATGTGTTTAGACACCACAAGGTCAGTCCAGCCTTCAGGTTTTTTCCACCTTCCAGCAATGTAACCCTTTCTTTAAAACGTGAGAGTCAGAAGCACAGAGGGTAGAACTGATAAAACCATCTACTCCCAGACCCTGGGCTCATGCATGGATCACTTTGAAAACTGCTGATGTAGTCCAAATGCAGAAAAATACCTTGATTGTACTGCCAGAACTCAAACTAGCAGGCCCCTTTCATAACCCTCTCTGCATATACATGAAATCATGCATCTGATGTCATTTATTTAGATCAGTTTCTAAGTTTCATGTCACTTGGTGAGAGGAAGCAACATGGAAGGAAGGTTTTGCTGGTAGATTCCATGGGTGGAGCAGAAGGCAGAGGGGGAGAATTTCTTCCTTAGACAGTGTCTGTGACCACAGAGCCAAGGAAGTATCAGGAAGTGTACCCAGGATTGTTTCTTGACCTGGGAACCAGCCACACCGAAGGACTTCACCTTGGCTTTTGTTTTTCCATGTCTGAACTGATTTAACAACCATGATGCTGGTTGAACTTAGACTGGTTGGTGTGGTTAGGTAAGAGAAAGGCTGTTCCAAGAGATACAGTCACACTAAGAGGCAGTTGAAGTAGTCTGTGTCACATACACATTGGACCTTGTGTCATCTCTTAGTGCTCCTAAATGGGGCCGTGGTTCTGTTGCTGGGCTGGTCCTCTAAAATGAGGGTGTGCTCATGGTCATGTTCCTTATTCTAATTTACTAAGTTATTTTGGTGTAAAAAATGGTAGCTGAAATACATGGACTCAGTTTAACTAGCAAGTGAGCGAAGTTTCTGTGGAATGGAAATGGAGGTGTGTGCTGGCATGAAGGAAGGAGGAAGGCAGGTAGTCTAGCTGGTGGTAGGAAACAAGGTGTGGCAGGAGACAGCTGAGGTATCTGGATCCTTTGGAGGAAGCTACAGTGGGGCAAGGGCATATCGAAGTTCAGAAGTGAGCT